TGCGCGTGTGTGCGCGTGTGTGCGCGTGTGTGCGTGTGCTTAGTTCTCTGGCCTTTAGCATTGTTTTGATAGCCTGCAGGACCAGCTTGTTCACTTCAGTGGAAGAATATCTGCAACATTTACTGTAAAATGTCACGTTCAACACAAAACAGGATCTTTCCTCAGAAACTTTCTCTTGTTTTTGTATGAGTGCAGATGTGAATGTATATATACCATATAATGTATATACAGTATAATATCTATATATAGTATAATGTATATATTAGGGCTGTCCCAAACGATTATTCTTTAAACGATTAATCTAGCGATTATTTTTTCGATTATTCGACTAATCTAACGATTTTTTTATTTTTATTAACCTAACAGTAATTTTATTGCAATTATTTTCCAGTTAGTCATTTAATATAACAATTTGCCCCATCCAACACACACACCGCACCAGGGTGTTTCCTCTTTATGTGCTCGTGCATGACTGTCGTGCTAGAGTGATATGCCAGATGCACTTTGCAGAGTCTGCAGACTACCGCACTGTTGGTGTCAAGATTAAAGTATTCCCAAACTCTGGAGGACCGTACTGCTGGTCGACGCCGCCATGTTCAAATAGATTACACAGACGAAAATCATTCACGTAGTCAATGACTTTAATTACGTCACCGCGTTGTCCCAGTCCTTGCGCTGCGCTTGTATCCGGGTGAACCAAAGACGAAGGATATAAACGGTCCCATTAGAAAGTTCTGGTTTTGTTCCATGAACATTTACCCTGTGTGGTTTTACACGACGCGGCGACACTAAAATTCCACGTCGAATAATTTTTATAATCGACAACGTCGATTACGTCGGATAATCGTCCCAGCCCTAATATATATAGTGTATTGTGTATATATATTGTTTGCTGTCTGAGCTGCTGTGACCTCCTCTCCTGTCCTCCTCAATCCTTCCTCTCTGACTTCCATTCATTCATCTGTGTCTCTTTACCTCTGTCTCTCTGCTGTTTATCCTTCCTGTCCCTGACCCTCCTCCCTCGTGCCCCCCCTTCATCTATCTCTCTCCTCTTACTCCCCCTCACCTATATGTCTCTTTCTTTCTTTACCTCCTTCACCTCCTCATCTGTCCACCCTCTATCTTCCATTCATTCTCCTAACTGTTTCCTCTCTGCTCTCCTCCTCAGATGGCGTCCACAGCATTTCAGCCCAGTGTGTCCTCCGTGTCCTCATCATCACTGAGGACATGCTGGGAAGCAGCGTCACCGTCCGTCTCCAGAACATGTCCCAGGAGCACTTCCTGTCTCCGCTGCTGGGTAACTTCCTGGAGGGCGTGTCGGCGGTGCTCTCGGTGCCCGTCGAGGACGTTTTCATCTTCAACATCCAGCCCGACCTGGACGCGGCGCCGGGAGGGATCCTGAATGTCAGCTTCTCTGCCGCGCTACCGGGAGGACACTTCTTCCCCTCTGAAGCCCTGGAGGAGCAGCTGTACCTGAACAGGCCGAGGCTGACCTCACTCACACAGATGGAGGTGAGTCCACATGCACACACACACACACACACACACACACACACACACACACACACACACACACTGAAGTGTGACTAGAATCACCTCCTCCTGGTTGTTTCCTCCACCAACCTTGAAGTGTCAGGACACATGGCCTCAGTCTCTCCTTCCTGAGTTGCAGTGTTGAATAATGACCAGAACATTATGATGTCACAGTGAAGTTGACCTTTGACCTTTTGGAAATAAAATGTCATCACTTCATTTTATCCTTATAGACATTTGAGTTAAATTGTGTCGTAACTAGTGAGTGAATTTGTGAGTTATAGCTGAAAATGTGTTTTGTGAGGTCACAGTGACCTTTGACCTTTGAGCACCAAAATCGAATCAGTTCATCCTCGAGTCCAAGTGAATGTTTGTGCCAAATTTGAAGAAGGTCCCTCAAGGTGCTGCTGAGATATCGTGTCCACCGCCTTTGACCGTCTCTGGACGGAGGCGTGAAAATGTGTAAATGTCGTTGTGCATGTGAAGCACATTTAAAGCCTGTAATTTTTTTAATGGTATAAATTTGATATTTATTTATATACAAGTTTAACTCATGAGTTTTGAGAAACAGCTGGAAAATCTGCATTTCCATGATTTTCTAATAAGATCTCAACCATTAGTGATTCAAACAAACCTGCTCATCACTGTTGGAGATGCAGCAAACACAAATCTTTTGTTTTTATTTTTGGAGTTGGCTCTCATCCTCTTTACACTGAGGACGAGGAATGTGCCTTTAATATTAGCAGAAACAAACATGTTTTACATCTTCAAACTCTTTCTATATTCTTTAAATTAAGGACATTTAGACATTTTCAAATAACCATTCAGTGAGGAAAACACAGTCCTGCACACGTATGCTGCAGCTGTAAATCTGAGTTACATGTAATAACACCGTAAATCACAGTAAGTCACACCTCAAGACAGTCACCTGAGAATATTACATGTCAACTGATAATAATACAATGTGCATCACATCCATATGGCTTCATGCAACAGTACACAGATATGACCACTATATATTCTAATGCATGAAATAACACACACCTGGATACAGCATGCACATCAGTGACTTCAATGGTAATACATCTCGTGCATGTGCATGAGACAGCTGACCCGGAGAGATTTATGAAGGGGTGAGGGTGGCCACAGCAGAGTGAGGAGATGAACAGTCTGAAGCTGAATGTGTCAGAACCTCTTTTCTGTCTCTCAACAGGCGCCGTCACACAAACACACAAACATTCAACCTGAATCTACAATCAGACAGAAAACAGTGACTGAGCTGTATATTTATCCTGGAAACACTGATTACTGAAGTGCTGAAGGCGATTCAAAGAGCGTTACAGAGGTGTGGAGATATACTAACAAACGAACATTCAGACGACATTAAAATAACATTTAAAAACAATATAAACACTTTTGAATAAATAGAAATATTTAAAGATTATATAAACCAGGTCAGAAACTCTTTATTGATAAGCTGCAGTGAACAGTGATGTTTCAGTCCCTGATCTAACTGAGCTGACAGTCTGAGCAGATCTCAGGTGTTCAGGAAGCTGCTTCCACAGGTGAGGAGCAGAGAAACTAACAGCTGCTTCACCTGCTCCTGATTCTGGGAACACTGAGTGAAGCTGACCCAGATCACCTGAGGGGTCCGGATGTGTTCAGACCAGAGACCTTTAGGTCTTTACAGACCAGGAGGAGGATTTTAAAATCTGTCCTCTGACTCACAGGAAGTCAGAGTCAGTGACTTGAGGAGAACTCTTGCTGTTTTTTAGATGGTTACAGGCTGATTTATGTGGCTGTTGAAGCTTAGGTGAGAGTCTATAACTACACCAAGATCTCTGGCTTGACTTGTGGGTTTCATTGTCATGAATTCAAGGTGAACACTGACTTTTAATCTTTCTTCTTTGCAGCCAAAAACAATTATTTCATTTTTCTTTTTGTGTGTTTAGTTATAGAAAATTCTGACACATTCTCATTGATCTGTTCAATGCTCTTACTCATCGAATGTAAGGAGCTGGTTTCTCAGAGACAGACTCTGACTTTGTTTTAGATCTAACAAACAAACAAAAAAAAAATGGCCGACCTAGGAACCTCGTCTAACTGCTCAGCTCCATTTACCCCTGGAGAAAATGTTTGGTTGTGTCTGAAATCCCTCACTCGTTCCCTCCTCCTGTAGAGGACTGTACAGCGAGCTCATCGGTTAAATGAAAAACACTTTCGCTCACCGCCTCTCTGTCTTTCAGCGTGAGCGCAATGCATGATGGTATATATTGTTTGGTTAGTGACCATCGGTCTTACCCCATTTTTCCAGATGCATTGTGGGATACTATCAGTCCACTAAAATTCTCACTCTACACTCAGACAGCACTAGAAAATGGCAAACTCACTATATAATGGACTCTTTCTGTTCTCATTACTCTCTCCATAACAATGTTAACAAACCACAGATAATGAGCCATGTTTGTTTTTTTGTTGTTGAGTGCTGCTGGTCAGCGCAGGTCTCATTGACTGTTACCATGGTAACATTGGTCTTAGACCTGAGTTAGCCTGGATGTAAGGTGTCTAATGCTTTAGTCTTAAAACGAGTCAGTCTTTATTTTAGAGACACCGTATTAGTTGTATTAGACCGGACCGACACCACGGACCGGTCTGACACATCTCTCTCTGAAACCGGCCCCCGGAGACCAAGACGAGGCTTAATGTAGCAGGAGAGTGCAGCCTGAGAGGAGAGACCCGGGGTCATAAAACTATCGGTCTGCCGTGAGCTACAGTAATAACAGAGATCCACATTTATTATTGATATATTTCTCTACTGTCTCTGGTAATAACTGAAGCAGCTCAGATCAGTCAGTGTTTACGAGCTCACGGCTTCTCGCTGCGGCGGCCATGACAGTTAGAGGACGACGTCAGAAGGTTTTAGTGAGTACATAAAAATGGACGTTTCTACAACTACGTAGTGGAAAGATGTGTTAGCATTAGCACGATAACACGTTAAAAGCCATAGTGATGATAACGTTAGCAGGCTAACCGTCAAAACGTTAACACGTCGGGAGTAACAACGTTAAGGTTGTTGTAGTTTAAGTAACGTTACGTTGTAGAAAGATAAAACGGCGCCTCTGCTAACCTGTATACATCTGTGTCCTTCAGTAGCTAACATGCTAACTACAGCTATTAGAGTTTAGCTTCTTAAACGGTGAAACATTATTTATTATTAATTTCCTAAGTTAAACAGGTTTCTATGTGTGCTAGCAAAACACGAACACCTCAAACAGATTAATTCATTTAACATTTTCTTCTTCTTAGTGCTTTGTGGATTTCGTGTTGTTGAATGGTGACAAAATTCTCCATTTTATTGAAAACAAATGCTGAAACGGAGGGTTAAATCAATATTTAGTGTGTTTTCTGCGCCATGTTTTTAACTCCAGCCGCCTCCTGTTCTCTCTGTGAGATGTGCCGTATTATCCACACAGGCTTTTTAATGGGAGATTTAATGATCTGTCATAGCAGGAAGAGCACAGGTGCAGTTAATAACTTTAATTAAGGCTGTGTTTCACTCAGGTGCTCCAGCTTCAGAGCCTTGATACTGCTCATACTGAATCCATGGAAACAATGAACTCTACTGCTATTTCACAGCGTTTGTGTTTCTCTAAGAATTTCCATTTCATGTAATTTACACTATATTTCAGCAGGACATTGTACTTTTTCACTCCACTACTGTATCTGACAGCTGTAGTTACTTGTTGCTTTTCAGATTAAATTTATTTGTACAGCACATGATCATATAGAGGTCATCCAGTGTGCTTAACAGAAACAAAAGAAGCATAAAAATAGAGGTAAAAAACATAATAAGAAAACAGTATAAAGCTGTATAAAAACACAGATCAGAAAACAGATAATGTCTAATTAAAGTGCGAGATTTAAAGATTAAATGAGGAGAATAGAGCTGTTTTTATCTTATTTTTTTCTTTCTTTTTTACAGTTTGGGCAAATTTACAAAAAAAACAAAAAAACAAACAAACAAACTTTTAAAATAAACTGGATTGTAAAAGATTAAAATACTAATGGTATCATAGTGAAGTATTAGTATAAGTAGTTACTGTACAACAAGCTCCACCTGAGCAGCTACAGCATTAAAATTCACCTTATACATTGATGCATCAGTATTAATAATCTGATACTGTCATTTATAATAAACTGAAATCACAGAGGAACAGAAGTACTTTTACTCTAACGATTTAAGTACTTTTTTCTGCTAATACTTATGTACTTTTACTTAAATTGTATGTTGACAGAAAGAGTGGTTGTTTTAATGGAGTATATTTACATTGTTGTATTGGTAGCTTAATTTTAGAGGACTGAACAAACTTCCCACTGGAACACACAAATGGAGAAGAGGCCACATAAATGTTAGTCACTGTGGTTCTCCAAGTCAAAGTGGAAGCTGAACCGTCTCTTCCCCATCACTCCAGGTTCTGCCGTTTGACGACAACGTGTGTCTGCGTGAGCCGTGCCAGAACTACATGAAGTGCATCTCCGTGCTGCGCTTCAACAGCTCCGCCCCCTTCATCTCCTCGCCCTCCATTTTGTTCCGGCCCATCCACCCCATCGCGGGCCTACGCTGCCGCTGCCCGGTGGGCTTCACAGGCGATTACTGTGAGACAGAGATCAACCTGTGCTACTCCAACCCCTGCCTGAACGGAGGAGTGTGCGCCCGCAGAGAGGGAGGCTACACCTGCATCTGTCGTGAGGACTACACCGGTGAGTGGGGAGGGAGAGGGTGTGTTTCTGTGCTGCTGTGGTAAAATCTCAGTACATTAATCAGATGTGTTGGTTGTTCATGGCAGACGTCAGGGCTTGAATCAGGTGTGTGTGAGTTCTTACGCTCATAGGAAGATAAAGAGCTGAAGTGTGTTTGTGTGTGGCAGTGATGACGGTGTGTTGATTACAAATTATTTTACTTCTTACATTTGATTTTGAAATTGGAAAATGGATGAATCATTTAATTCAAGTTGATTTTCCTTGTTGTGAACACAATGAAATAGTTTTGGAATCTCATGGACATCACCACAGCTGACTGTCCTCCATGTTGATCACATACTGTACATATCTGCCATTCTTTTACTGGTTGACCTTTCCTTTGCACCTGCTCTGATAAGGAAGTGATTGACAGTCATATGAGGATGTGAGAGCTTGTCTATTAGCAGGTGCTTCAGTAGAAAGACCTGTAGCCACTCAGTAGTTATCATGCAGCTTAAAATGTCTCAAAGAAAATCTAAGCCAAGCAACGTGGCTCACACTCTGACGAGGCTTTAAATGTGAGCTCAATGCGGGGCGTCGAGCGGCGCAGTGGGTTGAGCAGGCGCCCCATGTGTAGAGGCCACAGTCCTCACTGCAGTCGGCCCCGGTTCGAATCCCGCATCAGACGGCCCTTTACTGCATGTCATTCCCCCTCTCTCTGCCTCCACATTTCCTGTCTCTCTCTACTGTGCTGTTATAAAGGCATAAAAAGCCCCCAAAAAATATACAAAAAAAAAAAATGTGAGCACAATGCTATCATTAATTATAAAACAGATATACAACATATCTAGTTTACTGTAAAACAGACACAAACTTCTTATGGATGATCTCAATTTGATTTATTTACAGTGAGAGAAATGTTTCTGAAATCTAACCATAAAGATAAAATATAATACCCTGCTGTATTTACATTACCTTATATTTAGTTATTATAATCAAAATACACATTCTAACTTTATGCTTATTTAAAAGGAATCAATTCTTCTTTATTATATGTTCATTACTTTTTTTTTTTACATTTTCTTTGAGCAACTTGCGAGTTGGAAAAACAGAGTTTTAATGTGAGTGTGTCATGTGCTGTATGTGTCATCACTGAGGGAAACATCAGATCCAGTCAGAGCGACGTCAGTATTTAATGGAACCATTTTCTACATATGTTGAAACCTTAAAATGAAATGTGGGTTTTAAATTCGGATGTGTGTGATACACATGAGTTTGTAATGACAGACCCGTTGACATGTGAAGGGAACGAGGCATCGACGACTGTTTTCTGACAGTTTAACTGATTTTTTTTGTTTATTATTGATCGTTTATTTCACCTCGACGCCGCTGACTTAGTGATCAGGATATCGTGCAGTGGTTGTATTTGTTGTGTCTCGGTGTAGTCTTTAACTTTACCCTGCTAAACTCAAACTGACTGTGCTGCTTTGTTGGTGTCCCACACTGACTTCCTGTTTGATCCGCTCTGTTTTCACTCTTTCATCGTGTCGAGCTGAACAACATGAAAACACACACTCTGCCTCTGGGGACAGCTTACTCCTTCTTAGCTCTCTACCTGATGTTTAGTCTTTTACACACACACACACACACACACACACACACACACACACACACACACACACACACACACACACACACACACACACACACTTCATTCTTTCCTACCTTTCCCAATACACCAGACTCATTTCAGACCGTCTCTGTCTCATTCCTGCCCCTTCATACTGCCTCAGTCTTTGAGTCGATGTAGGAGAGGAGAGATGCTATGAATGTCTGTGTGTGTGTGTGTGTGTGTGTGTGTGTGTGTGTGTGTGTGTGTGTGTGTGTGTGTGTGTGTGTGTGTGTGTGTGTGTCAGGGGGATATTTCACATTGCCTTTTATTTCAAATCAAAAGAGAGCTGGGGGAGTGAAGCAACACTTTTCTTTCAAGAGAGAGACGGAGTGTTTTCCAAACTCCCACTGAGACAGACGGAGAGAGAGATGAAGGGAGGGAAAGAGAAAATGGGCAAAGGAGACAGTGAGGTAGAAAGAGACAGTGAGTGGGAGGCAGAGAGAGAGACAGAATAGAGTTTGACAGAGGGACAGTGAAACAGAGGTGGAGGCAGTCAGGAAAGTTTATAAAGAGAGAAGGAGATAAAAAGTAGGGAGAGAGGGAAACTGGAGGGGGAGAGGAAATAAAACCATGAGAGGGATGATAGAGAATTCTGGTCTGCTTTGGTCATCGGTACTAAACAGTGGTCTGAGATAGGGATGGGAATTAATACGATTTAATTGATACCAATGCCATTATTGATTGTGCTTATTGATCCGATTCTTTATCAATTCCTGGGGGGGGGGCTCCCATCGTTCAGTTAAAAGAGCCGTCTCGTTGGCGACTGACTCATCACTAATACGTCCCGTCACCACTCTGCTGAGACTGGGGAACTCGCTGACCAGCGGCGTAGAGCGTCAAACACATGGCGCTCCTGATATTGAACGCCGCGCTGTGTCATCAAATGTTTCAGCGTGTTGCTGGTGTTTCCACCCTTTCTTCAAAGCTTAGTGTCACAGACATCGCATGTTGCGCTGTTAGTTAAATTAAGCCACACCTCCTCGACTCTTTTATTGTCGTTGACGTCGTCGTCAGAATCCTGACAGCTTCTGAATTTCAGGACCAAAGTCTCAGAGTGTGACGCTGCTACGAAGCAGCTGATCAGACTGTGACGAGTCAGACCTGCTCGGTGTTCATCTCACTGTTTAATGTCACGTCAAATGAACTGACACACGTGATTAATGAAGCTTTTATTGTATTTATTTATTGCCATATCACCGTAAACGCTAACGTTGGCTAACTTACCCGTGGTGCTGTCCGTCTCTCTTCATCATCACCACGCCATATCCTCCTAAAACATCTTTCAGTACTCACATCTGCTGAGTAAATTAGTAGTATAACATTTCCTAAAGTTCATCCACGTCTTTCTAACTGCTACAGCCCGAAGAGAAAATAATTCTTCTTAATATTTCATCAGGACATCTGTGTTGCATCACGTGATCTGAATACACTCTGAAGTCTGAGCTTCCAACAAGCAGAGATACCGTTTGCTTTCATAAGTTCAAAGCTATTATCAAAGTCAACATTGTAGTCAACAATTAATAAGAAGCATAAAAAGAAGAAGGTTGTTTTACTTCGTCCCTTCATTATCCACCACGTCCACGTCTTCTGACGAGGAGAGAATAGTTAATTGATCACGGATGGCTTCGTTCTGACGGATTAAAAAACAGAAGTAAATGGACGGACAACCTGAAAACAATATGGCTGCTGTTCTGACTGTCGCTGGTGCAGAGGAAGAAAAATGCTAAAAGGCAGATACACCTGGGCAGCCGTTAATATACCTGAGCGGATGTTAATATACCTGAGCGGCCTGCCCTCGTAAAGTCTATGTATGGAAACCCTGCTACTGAAACATTGATCCACTTTAAAGGTAAAAACTAAAATCCACGGCAGCACTCTGACTGACGCTGGACGCAGACGTGTTGCTCGTTGGGACAAACATCAACACACACACAGACTGTGACAAAGAGCTTATTGGACTCATCTCACACTGTGTGACATGCAATGAACCTGCAAGATCCCTGTTATCACAGGCCTTCAGGTCGAAGACAAGAAGGATCAGAGGGAGGGAAAGTAGACAATTGATAACAGGAAACAAAAAGGAGAAGAAGAGAGAGGGAGAACGAGAGGGAAAAAACTGAGAAAGTAAAAGTGAAAGACGTGACAGGAGAGAGAAAATAAATAGAACATGACGGATGAAGGAAAGGATGGAGAAGAGACGGGTGTTACAGCAACATGAGAGACGAGGGAGACGGATGAATTCAGAGAGAATAACAGGGAAGGAGGCTGCTGGGAGAAAATGGGGCAAGAGACATCCAAGAGCAATGAGAGAGAGGGAGAGGCATGGAGGATGAGAGGTGAGGGGTAGAGCGAGGGAAATCAGATGGGTTCTGGGTAGTCGCTGTTGTGCGTTTCCTGCGTAGGCGTCGGGTGTTGCTGTGTCTTGTCAATGCCCGGGGCTAGAGGGAGGAAGAGGAGGAGGAGGAGGAGGACGAATAAACAGGGACGAATTGATTCTGCAACACACAGAAATCTCTAGACATCTCTCAGCCAAGTTTGCTCTCTCCCTCATTGGTTTTTTTTATCAGTCTCTTCACATGCTCTTTGTGGCTTTGAATTGCTTTTCCCTCAGTCTGTGGATCGCTCTCTCAGGCAGGTGCTAAGCCGCGGCTTTTGACCCAGAGCAGAAACTTTCTGTATTTTTACGTCGAGAACAGCAGCTCACAAAAGACCTGAATCAAGAGAGTGTGAACAACTGTTTGGTGTTTCTTTGGGGCAAACGAGACAAATACGTACAATACTATAAAAACCATAAATTGTGAATGAAGAGAGGATCCAGTCTTCCTCAGTCAGAGTGTGGTTGACGCACCGAAGTGAAACAAACAATAATAAAAGCAAATGGTAAAACATAGATTTAAAGTAAAGTAGAACAAAATAAATAAAGTGACAAACTAGATAAAAGTCAATGTTGAACTTTTGTCAGACAAACACACTGACACATGATCATAGAGGATGTGATGTCATCAACAGGCGACCAATGAAACGTTACCATGATTAATCACAGATTTCTCTGGTTTGAGAATTAATGGAAACATTTGTGATGATGTAAGAACTCAACTCAACAACATACAGAACACAGGTCGATGTTGTTTTTAGACATTTTAACGTGGAAAAATTACAGATTATAACATAAAGAAGAGATGTTAAAGATGAGTTCAGTTATAATCTCCTCGTATAACAGCAGCAGGTGAAACCTCCTCCATCACTGAGGCAAAGACACACCAAGGCTTTCCCAGTACGTGTAACCTCAAGCTAACCCCTCTCTAAAGCTCACATTTAACCCCCGGATAAGTGAGATTTGAAGAAGGTT